AAAGAGAATCAGTCATTTTTCAGATCAGTTGTCTCTGCCAGCTTAAAAGCATAGAAAATAGTTTTCCAAATATGTTGAAAAACCACCTAAGTACCTGAAGTACTTAGTGCTTCTCATACTTAGAACTATTAAATAATATTTTAAGTATTTTAAATACTTTCTTGCTAGAATTTTCCCAAGTTTTCTTTACTGTAGCATATGTGTGTATTTAACGAGTATCCACAAATAGCAGTTGCTCACAGCTCTAATGATTGAGCTGCCTCAGTCCTTCTCTTTAGGTTCACAGGGCACATGACACATTGCCAAGTGGCTGAGATTGCTTAGCATTTCATTATACCCACACTGATATATGACTATTATTCTCACATTGCTGCTTTAAAAAATCTTAACAAGCACTATGAAAGGGTAACTAATCAAATAGTGTTATTTCACACTGTAAGAAACCTCTAGGGTAAAAGTCAATAAAAATAATTAAAATATGAAAAGTTAAATATTCTTACCCAAATCTTGCCAGCTAAAAAGGTGCATTTAAAAGCAATCTTAAAGATATTAGAAGTCTTGCAAAAGTTTTTTTTTGGTAGAAAAATTTCATCTCTCTCTTGTATGTGTACCTTACACAAACTGTCCCTCTTTTCCCTCTAAAAGAGAGCTGGACAGTGCTGTTCAACTCAAGTTTGCAGAGAAAAAGAAAGAAAAATTATGAAAAACAGACTGGTTTTTTATTATTATGAGTATTATCCCCTAGGTCTGCATTTACAAGAAAATAAACAAAGGGAATGAGGATGGTAAAGGAATATACATCCTTTTTGCTAAGCCAGAAAGAGGATGATTACCAAGTATGCTTTTTTTTCCCAACGGCTGCAAATAATTGAGATGCTTGGGAGTTCTTCCCAAAGTGCTGTTATGAGAGACTGGGGCTAGATGAGGAAAGGGAGACTAGCTGGAGCACAGCTTCTACTAATCAGCCCTTTCTTTCTGTCTAAATGCAATTTAGATAGTGTACAGGCTTTGCGATAGCCTTTTGTACAGTAGGGAATTTTATTCTTACTGTAAAAACAGTGTCAGATCAGTTCATATTTAACTGACTGAGAACTTGCTTGAAACTGAGCCTGACCCCATTACTGAAAAGATGTGTTTGCCCTCTGCCACGGAAGCTCAATGTTTATGGGCCCTTGACCGCCCGAGTCACAGGCTGCTATTGTGTTCAGAAGTGCCTTTTTTTTTTTCAGCTGCATTTGGTGTAGCAATTGCAACCATAATTATCTTTTGCCTTTGCCATTTTCTGAGCTACTGCAATTCAAAGTGCTGATTTTGATCTTTAAAGCTTTATGTAGCCGAGACCCTTACACTTTGCTTACTGAACATGGGAGCTGGGGTTCAGTCCAAACTACCCGAGAGCCCTTCCCAGCTGGGGCTGGTGGCAGCACAACTCCTCAGGAGGACACTTGACTTCCGTATTTACTTTGTAACCATTGACTCACCCTTCTTGAGTCCTACAGGCTCCCTTCTTTGTTAAATATATAGCAAACAACAGTTGAGGTCTATGAGGCTTGGTTTTGAGGTAGGTTTGTGAGAGGAGTGTTAGTGCCTTGGTGCCATAAAGAGAGAGGAAGAGGATGATTATTTTTATGGGGGAATATAATGTCTGATGGTCTTACTTTTTTATGAGGAGAGTCCTCTAATGCATTTTTTTTCTGTCAGGATGATATCAGATTTCTGTTTTAGTTTTTTGGAACTAAGTCCAATCTTGAAAGATTTGTGCTTTTCTTAGGAGAAAACAATCTAATCTGAACAAGCTTTTTTATTAACAGATGGGTTAAAACTTGCCTAGTTTGGGTACTTTCATAAGAAATAGAAGAAATAGTAGATATTAATAGACCATGGGGAGGACCTCATGTACAACACATTTCATTAGTGTTTCAGTGGTGTATTCGTTTATTAGGCACCTAAGTGTGATTTCAGATGTTCTCTTTAGTATTTTTCTTATTGATTAGCAAAATGTAACATAATATACTAATTTTCTTTAGGATAACACATCAAGAAGATACCTTGTGAGTATTCATCTTTAAATTTGATAGTCAGCGATGATTATAATAGCTTTATTGACATTATTTCCAACAACAAAGATCAAAGAGCAGGGAAAATGTGGAATGAAAATGGAATATTGAGTAATGATGTTACAAAAATGACTTTATCAATATAGATATTAGAAACCTGTTTTTGCAGGTAAAATGATATATATCAATAAAAGTTATGAACACACTTGCTTAGAGATCTTGGCTCGAATGGTTTATCTGATGTGATAGGTACCTGCTACTGGAGAGTGATTGCCTTTAGTCCTCACTTAAAGTACTTACTGTCAGCATACTATGTGTAAAGGAATATGTATACATGTATATTCCTATATGTATAGGAAGCCCAAATCAGAAGTCCCCTATATTTTAAATATTTTTTTCTGGTTACATTTGAGAGATGCTCCCTGTCCCACTTCGAGGAAGTTAGTGCAACTAACTTTCTTAAGTGCTACTGCACTTCTCTAGGTCTGAGAATTAAAGCCTGAAACAAAAGCCTGAACAATCTACTGTTCTGTACTTAAATTACTTAACTCAGAAATCAACCAAAATTTTGTCATAAATTTGAAAGATATCTGATTTTATATTCTGAAACTATGGAAATATTCTCAAATGTACTGCACAGATGCGTGACTAACATCGGTGCCTAGCCCTTAACTATAACACTTTAAAGTGTCCCCCCTTCTAGCCCTTGCCTGGAATGCTATTTTCAGTGCAGCTTACTTCATGAAGATCCCTTTGAAGCAGTCTTCACAGAAGGAAAGATAATTTGGCCCAGTAACACTTGGATAAGGACTTCAACAGTATAATTCCATCTAGGGTCTTCAAAAAATAACCCTGAAATGCTAAGTAAATCAATCAGCTGGGTCTGTTGTGGAAAACTCCTAGGCCAGAGAATTTTGATATTAAACTTTCCAGGCGGGTTCATTCAAAGTGATCATTCCCAGGGTGAATTGGCTTCTATGTACTATTTGGAAATATACTTAAGCGTATATATACATATCTCTATATATTGCATATAGTGTATATACCACAGTGCGTATCAGCTCTTCCAAACACAGAACGTACCGTATGTTCACTTGGCTGATGGATTTCAGTGGTGTCTGTCATAGGACATAAGGATCTAGTAGCTTCAGAAGTCAGCGGGTGTTTTGGAGCAAGGCCACAGCCTTGAGGTCCTTAGGGGTTAATGGAGGAGGGAAAAAAAAAAAAAAGCCTTCTGTGAACCGCAGGGCTTTACAAATTTAGTGCTATGCTCTCTCTCTCTCCCAGCTATGCAACTTTCCAAGCTGCAGCAGTGGCTGGCAGAAGTTTGGCAGAGCTGGTGGCTGAGTGAGGACCTAAAGCTCTGCTGTTCGCTTCCTGAGCCATGCTGGCCCTCGGCCTTTTGCGAGGTAGAGTGACCGGCTGGGGCTGCTTTGAGTGGGGAAGCAGCAGGGCTTCAATTATGTGTCGCTTGATTGTGTTTTATTATTTTTGAGGTGAGCTGCCGTTTTGCTTTGAGGTGGGGGAAGAGCAGAGAAAATGCTTTGTTCTTCCTTGAAAAGTACCGCTCCTCCGCGGGAAAAAGGTAAAAATAAATAAAGAGGAGAAAATGAAAAGACTCCCGTCCTAATATGGCTGAGGGGGAAGCGAGCGATCCCCACGCTGAGCGCACGCAGAAGCAGCCGTCCTCGGGCTTCGCCCCGCCGAGGGGCCGCGCTGGGCCGGCCCGGGGCATGCCCGGAACCGGGGCCGGCCCGGGGCCTCGTCTCGCCTCACCTGCGGGCGGCGCCGGCCCAGG